TTATAATCATTCAATACTCCAAATATGCTTTAGATATAGTTGACCTGTTGCATATAGTATCTAAGAAACAAACTTAACCAGGAAAACTTAAGATTGACCAATGAACCAATGAACCATGAAATGAGGTCATGGTCAGATGACAATTTCCAGACAGTCATATACATCTTACAATCATTCAATACACCAAATATAGTTGACCTATTGTAATAGTACTAGAAAAACAGACCAAAAAACAAAAACTTAACATTGAACAATGAACCATAATCAAAGAGCTGAAAACTCTGAGGAAAAATAACGCCACTGTCTCTAATATTGTGATATTTTTTATGCAAGTCTTGATTTTCACATACCGTAATAAGTTTAACATTGCAACATGTCTCGTAAGCATATAATTGATATTCGTATATGTGTCTGTTTTTTCAGTACAAATGAATAGGTCAAGACTAACTGAATGATCTACAGTATCCAATTACTACTGGCTGTTTTTTTGTATAAATAAATAGGTCAAGACTACCGGGATGATCTACAATATCCAATGACTACTGGCTGTTCTTTTGTACTAATAAAAAGGTCAAGACTATTTGAATGATCTACAATATCCAAGGACTACTGGCTGTTCATTTGTACATATACATAAAGACTACCTGAATGATCTAAAGTATTCTAAGTAATGTGATTTTTTTCTTGCAATTACATTTTTCTAAATCAAGAATATAGACTACTAGTATCCTTTTCAAACCAAATGATTATGAAGAGTCTGTTGTTAGCAAGCTCTTATACCCCACATACTTATTAAAATAAGTTACTAGTGACCTAGTTATTTCTGTTACTTGAAGCAAATTATATTTCTGTATATTTAGACAATAGTATAATATTGTTTTACTAGTTTTATTTCACCTTGAAGATTAGACAAATAGGGATACTCCTTCGATTTTTTATTTCATGTCAGTCAGGTCGCTTTATATGAAACTTGAAACCACTTCTCTGCCATATTGTTATTTTATAACAACTCTGCCCTTGACCATGTTGACCCATGTAATTGATATTCATTCTTTAACCATATATCATAGTCAGTTAGTTTTTGATTTTGCACTCCCACACCACCTTTCATGTCTTTCAGGTCAAATATTAATGTCTGTCTCCATTTAAGTTAATGACATTAAACACAATTTCAATAGTGATAATGCTGTTCTTGTGGGTCACCATATATTCAACTTGGGTATCTTTAGGAATGGATCTTATAATTTAATATGGAGCCATAGTATGGGACCCCTACACAGTAACAAAAAAAAACAAGCTTGAAAGGATACAATGTCAAGCGGCAAAATCTATCACCAGAGATTACAAGTCAAAAGAGGATGGACGGGATACGTCTCTAAAATGCTTGCTGAACTGGAACTACAGCAAGATCTCCAGACAAGACAAACAAAGCGTTAAAAGTAAAAAGTAGTTGAGGGGCTGATTCCCGCTATTGAACCATACTGTCATTCTATAATATCATTGCGTAAGTATTTCTGTATTGGTCCATGTCTTGGGTGTATTGGTCTGAGGCGAAGCGGAAGGCCAATACTGCTGGCCGAGGACCAATAATAAGGCCAATACAGAAATACATGTAATAGTATCTTTATTAATTAACTACAGTGTTACAATATTTTTTTTATTTCATTTCACAAGAATAAACATGTTTACCTTAAAGTGGAACTATCCAAATCTCAGTTTCCTTTTATAAGATGCAATATCTAATGATTCGTTGCCGTTTGACTGCTGACCGAGAACCAATAATAAGGCCAATACAGAAATACACATAATAGTATCTTTATTAATTAACTACAGTGTTACAATATTTTTTTAATTTAATTTCACAAGAGATAAACATTTTTATCTTGAAGTGGAACTATCCAAATCTCAGTTTCTTTTTATAAGATGCAATATCTAATGATTCGGTGCCGTTTGAAGTATCTTCAGCCTTTTCCCATCTGAAGAATTTTTCTACCCTTTCCAGTCACTATAAAGTGTTACCACTTTAATTTAGACACAACACATAAATAGTAATTGGAAAGGTACTGCCATTGCATGTGTAATGCAAATATATTTAAAAAAAAAATAATGTAAGAGTTGAAATTGATACAACTATCCATAAGCCAACTGACCAAAGAACGAAGATTTGCACAATTACAGAATGCATATGCCTGGTTCGGGTTTAAAAATAAACGACCGTTTAAATACAAAACATGAGAAGCGACAGTGAACAGTAAAAATCGATTTGTACCATCGACATGATGAAATTATGAGGTCGTCAAGAAATGAACTTTGTGATAATTTACTCGTTCCCAAACCTGAAATAATCCCTTTAATTACTTTCAAAATGCTTTTTAAATGAATGGGACCGTCTTTAACCTAAAATATACGTTTCAGCTTGTTTATGGTGAGTAAACCTGCTACAAACAACTGTTTACTTTCAGTTTGAGTTTATCGTGACTTACGATCTAAAAACTAGAGACGTTCCGAAATCCTGTTTGTAAACAAAGATTCATACGCACCGCGTGGGTATATCCCTATAACTAATTTCCGATTTTTAAAATCTTCGTAAATCTGGATAAAGACCAGTTTCTATCCAATAGATATCAAAATGATTCCGATTTTCACTTTTTTTAATGATTGTAAAGTTGAAATGGCATGAAAGGCTGACATTATTTAGGAGAACTATTTTGTCTAGCGATTGCTGATCATTGAAGGGTAAAAAGTCCAACACCATAACAAAACGGATCTATTTATCATGTATGATTGTTTACGATTGTAAGACATGTGCATAAAAGTGAAAGCTCGAATAAATATGAAAATATAACAAAGGGATAGCTCCAAATACCATTTAATAACAAAAAACATATGGACAGGTCAAGATATCTTTTTGGTAAATAAAATAAAGTATGTAAATTGGTTCCCGTCCGACTACAACACTTTGTTCGAGTGTAGAATTATACAAGCAGATTCCAGTTAGTATGTAAAATAGTAAATATGAAACCGAGTGCGGTAGGCGGAGGCAACAATCGACTTCCGGTTCTGGCCAATGGTATCGGAAACATGCCGCTGATAGCGTCATTTTCCAAAAATGAGGTCAAGGTCTAATAAAACATGCCAGACTGACATGTACATCGTAAAATATTTTATACACCAAATATAGTTGACCTATTGCATACAGTATTAGAAAAACAGATAAAATCACAAAAAAATCATTTTAACCACTGAACCATGAAATTGAGGTCAAGGTCAGATGATACATGCCAGTTTGACATGTACTACTTACAATCATTCCATACACCAAATATAGTTGACCTTCTGCATATAGTATCTGAGAAACGGACCTAATCGTGTAACTTAACGTTGAGGACTGATCCATGAAAACTTAACCTTGTTCACTGATCTATGAAATGAGGTCAAGGTTAAGTGAAAACTGTCTGACGGGCATGAGGACCATGCAAGGTACGCACATACCAAATATAGTTATCCTATTACTCATAACAAGAGAGAAATTAAGAATACTAAAAATCTTAACTTTTTTTCAAGTAGTCACTGAACCATGAAAATGAGGTCAAGGACAATGGACAAATGACAGACAGAAACTTCATAACATAAGGCATTTATATACAAAGTGTGAAGGATCAAGGTCTTTAACCTTCTGAAATATTATCTTTTAAGAAGTTTGTTAACGCCCCCGATTCACTATCCCTATGTGGAGCTTTCTGCGACATGAAACAGCAAACCCTAATTATAATCTAGAAGTCGGGATACAGTCATCAACCAAAGATAGGGGCCTAGATGGTTGAGTGGTCTAAGTAGTAAAACTACTGTATCACTATGGAGTCAACACTGAGGTTGTGAGTTTGATTCCTGCATGGGTCAAGTGCATATGACTCCAAACTAAATTAAATAGGATTGTCAGCTTTCCTACCAAAGGTTGGCTGTTCTCTCCGAGCACTCTAGCTTCCTCCACCAATAAAAACTGACCGCCATGAAATAGCACAATAATGTTGAAAGTGGCATAAAACACCAATTTATCAATCAATCAATCAACCAAAGATATGTCCTTATAAAATATGTCAGGATCCAAATCCTCACAAGTTAAGAAAATTTGTAAATAAAATAAACATGGTCTGTTCAGTCCTGCCATGAATACCAAATTCCCCATCTTCGCTAGCAAAGGGTTAGGATCCAGTCCCCTCCTCTACACCCTTGGCGGATTAAGATAGAATTTCGGAGACATGAGGTAATGATTTCTATTGGTCGCAGTTGTAACTGGCTGCATCCAGTAAAAAAAGCACCTTTAAGATGATCATGCGTTAATGTAGAAAATATAAATAAACAATTGCCATGTGCTGATTGAGCAACAAGTCTTTACCCCCAAAACGTAGAACAATATTTGGTGACAATTTTAAAGTTCTTAATAAACTAATTAAAGTTCCTGGGTATGTTTCTCGTGCAAATGTTGGAATGTCAACATATATTTTAAGTTCCTGCTTCATGAAATTTGTAGACACTAGACACCATCATTTTTACACCTACACACTGAAGAGAGTTCAAGAGCTGCCATTGGTCAAGAATGATGATGTTGGAATGGGCGTTACTTCTTTGTACCGGTAGATGGCGCAGCATTGTAACCACAAATGTTGGCTTAATCTGCTAAGGGTGGTGAGTAGGGGAATGGATTGTAACCCTTGGCTAGCAAGATGCAAATTCTCTAAATGACAGAATAACATTTTAAGATATAGGAAACAATACCCACGGTTGATGCTTAGATTCCTGACATGGGACACATCATATCAGACCAGGATTACTTATCTCAACCTGTATAATTTCCCTAATGAAAACTTTCATTTGAAAACAGACCATAAATACTGACCTTCTGTAATACTATTATCAATTATACTACAAATATTCATAGCAGTAGTTAAACTGACACAAAATGCATCATGAAAACATGTTGCTTTCATTAAAAGAAAATATAGAAAATAATAACTTTATTGCTGCAAATCCTTATCTAAATACAATTTTGAGTGGCATATTAGGCCAACAAGGTGGTTGCTTAATGTCTACATTCCTATCGTAAGTCATTTGGAGGGCTGTTTCCATTCCATGTATCATGGCAGCTCCTTTACCGTACAGCTGTGTCATCTCTGAGGTTCTACGTATACCAGGTCTCTCTTTTGGTGCTTCACTTGTAGGTATTTTCTTACTGGCTACAATTAAAATTTGAAACTTGTTTATGTTAATATTGAAAGATAAAAGACTAATAGGTATTGATAAAAAGATAAAGTGAAGTATTTATGGATTACAATCACATTACTTTTATTTTTACAATACTTTTTTTGTTAATTATTTGATCTTTTCAGTTCAATTTTGTTACCAATCTTCTTGATAGTAGATGTTTTTCTGAATATTTTTTGTTTTTGTAAGTTTACTATGTTTACATGTGTGGCTATTTGAATACTACAATTAGAGTAGACTGACACTGTTTATACAAGCTTCAAACTGAGTATATATAGGGTAATGAACTTCAATAGTTTGTCTGTTCTATTAGTTGATTCATGTTTTTTCTTAATTATTTGTATGAAACACATTCAGTCTGCACCAAAAATTTTTCTAACTACTAGTCCAAAGAACAATATTACGATATTTTTCTTGACTGTCTAAACAAAACTTTGCAAATACCTACTAGCCAGAAAATAAAGTTTCACTAGTCTGGGGCATCATGCTAGTGGCTAATATTGCAGACTGCACATTAGGATAAAATTTAATATTTAGCAGCATTTTCAGAATTTTAAAATATTTCATCTTATTTTAAACATACCCTTCAGAAATGCATGAAAATTATTAGGACTTAATTTGTAAGCAAAGAATTTGTTTTGTCAAGAAAAATCTCTAGTAAAATGTGTTTATTTAAAAGAAAGATGATTTTACTGCAAATAACAAGTTTTTCATTTTTATCTTTAAAATAGCATGAAACAATAACCGGTGCCTGCAGTTTTCTTTTCATCCCCTTGTGTTAAATCAAAATTATCCCTCTAAATAAATTAAAGATTTTTATCAATTAAACATTGAATTTCTACAATAGTATCTTTGTAAAGCAATGAAATTTAAAATAGTAGATTTATTCTTAAATTTAAATGCCCATGCATGTATATTATATATGTGTGTGTTTTTTTCAATATTTATCTGATTTTGTTTGATTGAATTTTGTTTGCTTAACTTCCAGTCGCAAATATTTCATATATATTCATGACAAGAACAAATTAACAATGAATCCAATTGGTATGTTCTGCAAAGAAGAATAAAATGAAGGGAAAGAAATTTATGATGACCCTTGGAGTAATCAATTTACGATACATGTTTATCTGTATAAAAGAATAAAACCGTTTTGGTAATTTATTATTTCATTTCTATTTAAAAAATACTTTTTGTTTTTAAATGCTTACCTTTTCCAATATCAACTAATGATTCACCTTTACCACCACCTATTTTGCTTTCATCTGAAAAATAGTAAAAAATGCATAAATTATATATCTTACATGATCTTTCCTTACTCATAGGCCTAAATCACTTCACTGTCTTTTTCTTTTTTAGCATACCCACTTATTATTTATCATTATCTTCCAATGTAATAACACAGAATGTTTTGTATATTATTTTTCTGTTTTATTAGTACATACCTGTATATAAAACATACAATATGGATGAGAACACACAGTAAATAAGATCTTATAAAAGAAGTCAATTAGAAAATTTAGTATCTATTTTCAAAGTAAACTGATGATACATTATTATACATTGAACTTTTTTCATGGATTCAATGGGTATAGCTAAACAACTAATTTAAATGTTCAAAGATTACAAACTTTCTGGGCTTGCAATGTATATGCAAACTTTGGCAAAAACCACTAAATCAAATATCCATTAATATACAATATTTCCTCAATCCACGAAAAATTGGAACCTACGAAAATAAATGAATCAACAGTACTCTTAAAATAGACTGAAAAAATCTTAATTGGCCACAGTCAATCTATCTAAACAGTACTGAAATTGCATGTACAAATTCTTACCAAATTAATGAAAATGCTATAATTCCAGTTCTATTTAAACTACAAAATGCCATGCAGTCTGAAAATAAAAAATATTTAAACTTCTATAGGTTCATTTTTACCTCGTTCTTTTCTATGTTTTTCTGACTGTGCAAAGAAATCCACCATCTCGTCAGTTATTTCCATCTCGTATACTTCACTGCCAGTATCAGACAAGTGGGTATCGTCACATGTTGTACTTTCTTCTGAAAACGACACATTCTGCTTCTTCTTTTCTTTTGGACTTGGTGCTATTGTTTTCGACTTAGGTATTTTAAACATTGGCTGTTTAGAAGTTTTTAAGTTCTTACTTTTACGTTTTGGAATAAAACTATTAGAGTAAGGTTGAGAATGTCTTTGATAAATATGTTGTTGATTTTGTAGTAGTTTTTGTGTGACTATTCTATGAGTTTGACACCATGACATAGCATGGGCATAATGTCTCCAATAACCTTGAAACAATGGATGTAAATACCAGTCTTGTGAACTAAGGTTAGGTAACTCTGTATTATTTGGTGTATTTTGTGTCATATCTGACGTATCAGTTTCAGTTTCTGATTTTTCATTCAGTTTGAGTGTTTCCTCTTCTGTTGACATCTGTTGAAGCAGATTATCTGAAGTTAGACTGGTTAAAGAGCTTTCACTGGAGTCTGAACTTGATAAAATATCTGCCAATGAATCTGTAGCTTCCTCAGCAAGAATATCTAATTCACTGCTGGTTTTTGAACTACATGTATCTGCATCCATAGTATGAAATGAAATCTGAAAGGTAGAACAAATTAAATTGAAATTAATATTCAAATAATTCATTACATCATTTTATTGATTGATTGTTGCTTGCTTAAGTCCAGTGGCATACTATCAGGCTTAAGTCCAGTGGCATACTATCAGGCTTAAGTCCAGTGGCATACTATCAGGCTGAAGTCCAGTGGCATACTATCAGTTCCAATAATGTGACATGACCTCCTTTAAAATGTTATTCTCTAGACCTATTAATTGGTCATTGCTTTAAAATTAGTTCCATCAAATATAAATTTACCTTTTCAGCAGGTCTGTTTAAATATAAAAAGTGAACTTTAAAAATGATTCTTTTTATGATGTTATATGAAATCTATTGTGAAGTACAGCCACTGATAATAAAGTTCAGCAGGTAAGTAGTTTAAGTTTGCTTTCAGTAACTGTGAGCATTCTTAGAAATGGTCTTTTTTTAGTAACTGTTTTATTTGTAATTTTGTTCAGTGCTTTTCCTAAATTGATTTTTATTTCATACTCTTCAATGGATATTCTATTTAAGCCACAGGAGCTTCCCCAGTGAATGTCTTATTTTATTTTTTTCTATTTGGAAAATTTGGTGTTGACAGATCTTTGATTTGAACTTTTTAGACTGTGGGCCATTTAGAGTTTGGCATATTGTATAAACAGTAAACACCAGTCCTTGTTGAAGACTGTACATGTATATTGACCTTTATATATGAATAAAAGGAGATATGAGGTAGTACTTATACATCATTCATGATCAATGAGACAGCAACCTAGCAACAAAAATAACCAAGAGACATCTAGAGTTTATTTGTGTGTTTTGTTTAGTTAACAATACATTTGAACTGGTGTAACATAATTGCTTCCTCTTACAAATGTAGTTAAGGTATCCTTGAGTGGTAAAGTACAGTGAAACCTGCTCTTATGGTCACCTCTTTTATGCATAAACCTGTCTTGCCAGTTGCATGATAGTGTCTTTGTTTTGTTTACCATGCCGACTCTAAATAAAGCTTATTTATTCATTATAAACTGTAAGGTGTTATTGTTTTTTTGTAGGGTACAGGTGCCATATAGAACTCGTCAGAAAAACATGGCTATAACATTAACAGGGACTTAATATCAATATTTATATGTCCCAGGCGTAAATGGCTTTACCAAGTGTGCCAACAGACCTTGCAAGACCCTCATAGATGCACTTTCCTGTACATTTCCTAGGTCACACATCACATTACTGAAAGAACAGACTGTTTAATGATGACATTTACAAGTATTTTTCTGAGGTGAACAGGTGTAACTCAGTCATAAAAAACATAATAATAGTTCAAGAAAAATACAAGATTGTTAAAATATAAGTGTTTTCTTATTCAAAGAAAATTAATCTTAAAACTGATTGTCCTGTGGCTTTCTGTCCTACTTTGTGTGTACATTCACATTCACATTCACATTGTGACGTTGGAAATGTATGGGAAAATGCACAAATGTGCAAGTGGTTTATTGCTGAAATGACTCTGCCTGAAGCAGTTGTGTGGGTGACACATCTTGCATCGATACAAATTTCAAATCTTCACCTTACTTAAAAGTGCACTCCTCTAATGGGAGTATTATTATGTATCATCTTATGTATACATCATTACATGTAAATGTTCCAAGCAAGGATTTGTATAGTATAGTCTTGCTATACAAATCCTTGTTCCAAGTAAAACAGGTTGGGGACAAGTCAGGAAACGTGGGGTATTCCCTGTTTTCAGGGAACACCCCAGTTTTCTGGTGTTAAAAAAAAACAGTTTACAGGGACTTCCTTTTTCTATTTCAATTTAAAGCATGAAATCTACAAAAGCGCACATTTTAACTGCATCAGTAGTATTTGTCAATACTTAAAGTATTTCAGAAACAACAAAACATGAATAAATGAAGCCTTTTTTTTTCTAAAACTCAAAAACATAATAATCTTTTGTTTAGGAGTCAATTGACCAAGTTGCATGCTCCAGGTGTAACTGACCATAACTGTTTATATCCCCGAGGAACCAGTAATGACGCACCTAAGGTTGTTTTGTCTCTGCATTTAATCTACCATTTAAAAGAATTAGAAAAACGGAATGGAATAAAAGATTGGTAACTTGTTATTATATTTCAATCATTAAACAGTTGATATTTGAAACAGTAATAGCAATAAAATTCATGTTTGCTAACATTACAAACGGACTGCCAACTAATGATGGGTACCAGTAATGACGCACTGCAAACAAACCAGTAAAAACCACTTGCACGTAACTGATAATCAAAAAATTGCTTCAATCCGGATTCTTTAAAATTAAAACTGTTCAACAGATTCAATTTTATTAACAACTTTTGATATTTTCATTCACTTTAATGATCATGATGATTGTAACACCAAATTTTTAATCAATTTAAATGTAACCTATATTTTGGTATATAATTGTTCAAAATTTATGAAAGTGATATACATATTGCATATATTTGAAAATAAAAAGTAATTGCATTCATAAAACAACATTGACAATAATACATTTATCAATGTATACTTCGTGCATTGAATGAAAAAAAAATCGATAAACCATAGAAAATTATATAAGCGACGACCATTTGTTCTACAGTGATTCCTGCTTAAATGGAAAACCATGTCACATGACAGTCACATGATTTGAAAAACACAAAATGGGGAAGCATACGGTTACATACTTTTCTTGACCAAAGTGGAGATAGGACTGATAATCTTTCGGGGAAGGGTAGAATTTTTTTGACCTTAATAAAATGGCGGAAATTGCATTGTCTTTAATATTTTAAGCAATAATAACATTTCTGGGCAGAGTTTTAGGCATCTTTGTTGTAGTCAGATGACCTTCAACATCATGTTATGAACACAAAATGTTGATGACGTCACGTCTTTTGTTTAGAAATATAAAATCGTTAACCAAATCGGTGCATCATTTCTGGTCCGCGTTAAAATAGGTACCAAGACGATATTCACTTCTATTGAAAATTTCTATTCATTGAATTTAAATGCCCAAGTGATTAACTGAACTTATCTTTTTGTCATCTCATAATTGATGATCAAGGTATGAATTGGTGAACAAAGGAATTGTTTTGTTGTGAGTTGAGCATCAAGTAAGACTTGAAATTAGCTTGATTTTTGAACTAATAAAAACACTTGCTATCATAAAGCATTGTTATCACATGTAGAATGTGCGCTTTTGTAGATTTCATACAATAAATTGATAGGAAAAAAGAAGTCCCAATACCATACTGGGGTTTTTTAACACCAGAAAACTGGTGTGTACCCTGAAAACAGGAAATACCCCACTTTTCCTGACTTGAGCCCAACCTGTAAAACACTTAAACAGTCAAACAAACATATCTATCAAATTTTTACTTTTAGCTTTCTTTACTGACTGAAGCAATCGTAACTTGTAAGTCTTTTATAAAATTTAATTTTATGGTTGATTTTCATATACAATAAAGGCATATTAAGTTAACTAATTACCTTTTGGTTTCCTAAAAAATAAAAATAATTATCAAATCATTGTAGTATTGCTGCTTAATAATCCCATCTCTCATTACTGTGTTTAAAACGCATTGCTGACAAAATTGTTTTATAAATATAAAAAAGCAAAATCGTAAACGGAATATATTTAATTTCCGGTTTTCGTGATTAAAAGTTCGAAGAAAAAAATATTTGAGAACACAATAACAGCTGAACTTGTCATTAGTTACTGTTGAAGCTAAACAATCAAATTTACAAATACGAATACAAATACAAATATTTTTATTGGCACAAACTCATTAACAATAAATGGTTATAAGACCTATTGCATAGATATAAGGCGGAAGATGTGGTATGAGTGCCAATGAGACAACTCTCCATCCAAGTCATCACGATTCACGAGTTAATTTTTTTATCAATCAGAAAATATAAAAAAAAAATCTGTAGAAAAACGGATCACGATAGCGAAAATGCGCCGATCACGAAGAACGAAAATAACCCATCAGGCCCCTCAACGGTTTAATCTATATAAAAAACGAGAATCGAGAAACACTTATGCCTGAACCACATCAACAAACGACAACTACTGAACATCAGATTCCTGACTTAGGACAGGTGCAAAAACAAATGCAGCGGGTTTAAACGTTTTAATGGTACCAAACCTTCACCCTTTTTCTGAAACAATAGTGTAACACCACAACATAGAAGGACACACTATAAAATATCAACTGAAATAGCTTAACTCAATCAAAGGACATATCAACACCAGTGAACATACACTGAACAAATAAATTTGACCTATGATACAATGCAAATACAAAATAAATAAACTAAGGGAAGAATAATAAAAGTAACATGTTATACCGCTATGAAATGTTAAACAATTTAAGAAAAACAATATGCTCGAACAAAAATATCAGCCATTTGTAATTACTTTAAACACAGGTAAATGAAAATAATTACATATAATTATATTAATTGACATGGTAGAATGAAAAGTTACATGATAACATATCATTATAGAATGAAAAGTAATGATATTGGTGTTTCATATTAGTTCACTATTTCTCATATTTAGACACTCTGATATGAAAGAGGAAGACAGTCTAAGTAATAATGCTGAGCTATTGTTAACCAATAGAGATATTTTATCATCAGTGGTAATGTTACGCTGTTACGTGTATTTTAAATATAACATTTATTTTATTTTCTAATATTTCTCGTTTTGAGGTAAATCTATTACATTGTAATAAGAAATGTTGTTCATCCTCAATTTCCCCATTTTTACAGACAGGACAGTATCTTTCCTCTCTAGGAATGTTAAGATGTCTTCCCCTTTCAATCATTAAAGAATGTGCACTTTATGGTCGGGTTGTTGTCTCTTTGACACATTCCCCATTTCCATTCTCAATTTTACTTATGCGTATTTTGCATATTGCTGCTCTATCATTTACATTGTTTAGTGAATCAACATATGATGGTCTTTGACCCATTTTGTAGACTCGACGAAAGAAACTGAGTTTTGAAGATTTCTGTATGTTTGCATTTTGATTTTGCAAGCACTGATCATAAATTCTTTGTTTTACTTGTCCCAAGTGCTGCTTTGTTAAACAACTTTTTTCTACAAGATATGAATATCCTAATTTTTGTAAAATGCATTTAGTTTTTTTGATCCAGGGGTTTGAAAACCTTGTTGCACAGAAAATTTGATTTACAAGTGTATTTTCTGATGAAAGTATATGCTCTAAAAAATTTATGCTTGAAAATACAATTTAATTTTTGAGTGGAATTCGACCAAGCTCAGCACGACAAGCATCATTTGAAGCCTTGCAATGAACACCAAGTGCTTCTTTGATAAATTTAATGTGTAGTTTTTCAAAGGGTTCAGAGTCCCTTAAGAATAAGTAAACACCCCAAATTTCACAACAGTACATAAGTATAGGTGATATTAATGTATCAAACAATTTTTCAAGTAGTCTACATGGATTATTCAGACCAACAGTTTTCTTTATTTTGAAATACTAGCTTTTCTTGCCTTTTCCATAAGAGTATTAATGGCTAAATTGAAATTACCATTACATTTTATTACAATACCTAAATAAGAATAATGACTAATAGTTTCAATACAAGAATCATTGTAAGTAAATTCGTCCAAAAAAGTTTTACCATTTGAATTAAATACAATAACTTTGGACTTATCTGTTTTAACTTGCCGTTTCCAACAGTCACAATAATCATATAAAGCATAACGACTGTAGTCCTTTTTTACTTTGAGACAATAAAACAATATCATCTGCATAAAGAAGAATATTTAAAGAAAAGTCCCCAATTACAACTGGATCAGAATTACAATTGATTAAATCATTTGTGAGGTCATTAATATAATAATTAAAAAGTACAGGGCTCAGTACATCTCCTTGTTTTACTCCTCGCTCAGATAAAAATGCTGAACTGAGTCCATTTGAGAACTTGATTCTGCATACTGAGTCAGTATACATTGAATAAAAAATTCTAAAAATTCTATTTGGAATATCGTGTATCAAAAGTTTATAAAATAATCCTAGTCGCCAAACTGTATCAAAGTATTTTTTTAAGATCGATAAAAGCTGCAAAAACCTTTTTATTTTGTTGTTTATAATGATCAATTACTGATTTTAGTGTAAATATGTGATCAGCGGTGCGACTGTTTTCTTTAAAACCAATCTGATTTTTGCTGATTAAGTTTTTACTAGTTATGAAGTTCATAAGTCTGTTATAGATAACTTTATTAAACAGCTTGCCAAGGTTGGAACTGATGGATATGCCTCTATAATTTCCAGGGTCAAATTTGTTTCCCTTTTTATGTAGAAGAACTAGAAAACTTTCATTCCAGGTCTTTGGAAAATTTCCACTAGTAAAAATAAAATTAAATAATTTATGAAGTGGTTTAATTAATAATGGTTTTCAACATTTCATTTGAGATCATATCAGCAGATGAACTCTTACCATTACGGAGCAATCTAAAAGCTTTTACTATTTCAACTGCATTTATTTCTGTGTTTATTTCATCTGATATAACAGAATAATTTAAATTAGCTTTTAGTGATTCAAGTTTGTTGACTACATTGCTTTGGTGATCATTATACTCATGATCAGACTTATTAAGATTTTTATAAAATTTAATAAAATCTTTTTGGGGAATATCATTAGCAGATTTATCTTTTACTTCTGACTACTTACTAAGTTTGTTCAAAATCTTCCAGAAAACCTTGGGATTCTTTTCACAGGTGTTACTGAGTTCAGAGCATATTTTTTTTATATGTTTTTTCTTCATATTTACAAAGTCGTCTAAATTTTGACCGAAAGGAATAAAAAAATTTCCTGTAATCTGCATTTTCAGGAAATTGATTTACAAGTTTTTCATAATTTTTCACTGAAGTGCGAAGATCTTTACAAGATTCTGAAAACCAAGGTTTTCGGTTAGACTTCTTGTTTGTTTTGTTTTTTGGGAAACTTCTAACTAATTTAGCTGACTTTTGAGCATTTTCATAGAGAATTGAGGTAAAAGCTTCTACAGCTTTGTCAGCATCTTTAAAATCTGTTTGTAAATATCCTTAAAATTTTTTCTGACTTGTTATATATATATTTCCAGCAAATCACAAAAATAAAATTAAAATAACTGCAGATAAATTAGAGCGCACATTTGCCACATCGAGGTAGGAGGCCGGGGGTCGGAGGGGGTCCAATCCCGAAATCCCGAGTTTATTTTTGCCAAATCCCGATTACCCGGGCCTTATTTGACAATATCCCGAAATCCCGATAAAATAACATATGCTTTTTTTGGCAAAATGCATCAATTAATGAATGTATACTGTTATCAGTCAGTCTGTTGTGCAGATTCCCTGTACCTTATTAATATAAACTAGTTTAATACAGATTATATATACATTGAGACTGCGACATTCCAAAACTTAAAAGACACATAAATAAGTTGGCTAGTTTGCGCTCATTAAAAGGAGGTACGAAATTTTCGTCTGTTACCTTGGAGAATGATAGTACATTGTTTACGTTATCACTGTTCTTTACTCTGCAGCTTTTTTATGTGCTAGTCCGAAGCCAGGATACAGTGTCAGGTAGTTGTTTAATACTCTTACATTTATAATTTTGACCAAGATGAATAAAAGTGACTTCGGAGAAATACAAAGACTTAAAACCATAGAACAAATAATGTGCAAATATATCCAAGTAGTACTAAAAAAAAACATTATCCGTTGAACATATAAACGCGGGTACAAAAGGAACAATCTCAAACAGAACATCGAACACTAAAAAACATACACGAACATACACATACCAAAAGTAAACGCAGGTGCTCCGGAAGGGTAAGCTAATGCTAATTTTTTTTTCAAACAAGAGTCCCGATAGATAAAAATCCCGAATTCCTGGACGTAAATACACGTAAATCACGTGTCTCGATTAAACTAAATCCTGATATCCCGATGATAATATAGCTCGTTCCCGAAATCTCGAACTTAAAAATGGACAATCCCGGAGTCCCGATAAAGGTCCGACCCCCCCCCCCCTTACACCCCCTCATCTCTGGAGTAGCGGCAACCCCGCTTAAAACGTTTTATTTAACATATCAGTAATAGCCTGTATGACTATATATGAATACTTAGTTTATTATTTAAATGAAAAATATTGAATGTTGTTATATGTATGATATTCCGCCATGAGGACCTTCATTTTAAAAACAAAATATCGGCTTTATCTTGTAATCACTAAAGAACTATCCAAGAGGGGGGTTGTGTCATTTTCCAAATCCCGCTGTTTGTATTTCACCCCATTTTCCACTTTTTTTTCTAAACGGTTTCCCAAATCCCATCCCCCTATATCCTCTATAAGCGTGTCATCACCTCATCAAAAGTTACAGGTCGCCGAAGCCTAAAAATCGACAAGTACTACCAGCCTTTTCACTTAAATAATATTAAGATATATAAAAAAGAAGATGTGGTATGATTGCAATGAGACAACTCTCCACAAGAGACCAAATGACACAGAAATTAACAAATGTAAAACAATTCAAACGACAAA